CGTCGAAGAGGGCATAGGCCTTACAGACGCCAAATAGACCATCTTGCAATCCAGCAGCTGCCGCGTACTTGGAAAAGCTCGTCCGGGCGCCAAGGTCCCTTTTGATGGTCTTCTCAAGCTTCTGGAGGGCCACCGCGTCTTCTTTCTCCTTTCTCTTCCTCTCCGCCGCAGCTAAAGCCTGAGCCTTCAGAGCCGCTTCGGATGGCTCAGCTGGCGTAGGTGACGATTTCTTACCACTACCTCCAGACCCTTCTGAATGTACCGAAGAGGCTGAAGAAGCGGTGGGTTCTTTCTCCGAACTCAAATTACTGTTGCTCAAGACGCTGATGGAGGTACTGTTGCTGTTCCTATCTTTGTCCTTCTCTGAGCCCCTGGCTAGCAGATCCTTGTATACCTTCTCAAGTTCTTCATTTTTGCTCTGAGCAAGCACCTGCCAGACTACACCGCGGATCACATTAGGAATGCCCGTAGCAATCGCCTTATTAAGCTCCTCCGGGTTAGTTCTCGCAACTGCAGCTGGGCCTTCGTAGACCACAGATTGCCAGAGATCCCAGTCGACCTGAGAATCTGCAATGGTTGAAGGCCCCGCAGACACGCCTGAGACGGTGCCGGGGGCTAGATTGGCATCAGCGTTCGGCGGTAAAGGGGACGGTGGAGGCTGCGCTGCGACAGTTCCATCCAAGCTACTCTCGCCAGTTGGGCTCGCGAGTCCCAGAGTTGCTCCTTGCGTCTTATCCTCCTCGCCAGGGGAAAGAGAAATACCAGCCTCCTCTCGCAGCCGCACCATCTTGAACCTATCTTTCAAGCTATTTCTTGACAGGCGAGGCCCACCCTCCCCTTCGTGCTCCTCCTCGAGTTTGCTGAGCATCATCTCCGGATTGCTGGTTAACGTAGCTATGGAACTTGCTGTATTCCTTCGTGGCGAGGCAGCAGCTGTAACAGGTGGTGACGTGACTTCTTTGTCCTTGTCCTTGTGCGTGGAATTCCGTGACAACCAGGAGAACGGACCCCCAATCTTTCGGGACGGAGCCGCAGGGGCTGCAGTGGAAGCAGGGGGTGGAGCAGGAGCATTGTTGGTAGGATTTGGACTTGTCTTCGGCGGGGATTCTGCGTTAGGAGTAGGAGACCATGGCATTGCAGGTAGCGAGGCAGTGATGTTGCTAAGAGAAAGTTTCTTAGATGGCTGTTTCTGAACGACAACAGGAGGCTCTTCTGGATGAGAATTAGCAGAAGTCGCTTTTGACGGTGAGAAGTTACGACACGAACCTTTCTTTGGCGGCGCTGGCGGCTGCTCTGCAGCTCCGTCGCTAAGATCGACATTATCCAAGGTCGCATTCGAGGTACGCTTGGATGGAGTGTTCAGTTCCGCGACTGTATCGTTCTCATCCTCATTCCCAACCTCAGCCTGAGCCTCAGTTTCTATACCATTCTCCTTTTCCTCTATTGTGGCTCCATTTGGCTTCTCATTCTCCTTCTCCTCGGGCAGTGGACTCTCTGGCGATTCTGAGGTCCCATCAGTAGCACCGCTACTAGGTCGAGGCGAGAGCTTGCGTTTTGTTAGAGATCTTACGGAACGTGTATCGAGAGCGTCTTCGAATGTGTCCTTTTTACAATTAGAAGTTAGTATATTCAGATCATATAGCGCGATGTTAGGTGGTTGATTTAACCATCATATGTGGACAAGAGTATTGCATGTGAAAGATAAGGTAGTCGACGTACCGTGTCCTTGTCCGAAGGGGCTGGCGATCCATTTACCTGGGGAGCGGCATCGGACAATTGCTGCTCCTCTGGGCCCGACATGATGGCGGGCGGTGATGGACTTGAAGGGGATTGATTAATCGGAGCGTCTGTCGAGTTCGGGCTCGTCGCGAAGTTGTCGTCGTGCAAGGTGGTCTAGCATCTATCAGGTTTAGGGTGGCAGGTGACAGGTATCAGCGACGATGTAGTGGGTTCAGGAGATAATCAGAATAAAAGAGACAACGCGACGCGACAGGCTCGGACGGTCGTTCAGTTTGTCTCGGACAGGTAGTACTAAGGGTACTGAATAATGATCGCAGACCAGAGAAAGAACATGAAAGGTGCACAGGAACGAAGTGAAGTAAAAGGTGAAATTGAGAGATGTACACAAATTCACCGTCGTTTGTAATTGTTTCCCTTTTCCCCCTTCGAACTGACTAAAGTGACTGGGATCTGTGGAGTTGCCGAGTGGGAACATGAACCGATCTTGAATTGAGTCAAATCCAATTGCTGCATAACGCACGGACCATAACCGAGTGCTGTTTCAGTGCCAAGCTTCCCGCTCTTTAGTGCTATGGGATGGGCTGTAGCTTCGAATTGTTCTGTGGTATGCCGCCTAGTGCGGCGCTAGTAGAGCTCACTAACAGCCCATTCCTTTGTTTTAGTTCAGGGGTTCCTTTCGGCGCCTTATCACCGCCCATCTTGTTCAGTACCAACCATGTGCCTAACAAAAGGAGACTCGTACGCTGCGCCCAGAGCGAGCATGCCGTCGAGTCTGGTAGCACAAACTGCTGCAAGATGAAATTGAATGTCTGCGCTGTCTCTGGAAGATCTATGATCACAATTTTAACTCATACTGCACCATCCATCCCTCTGCCGTAAATCAGCGAAATGACATCACCTGCGACCATATTGGATATGGTCCATCTTCATGAAAACGTCCATGTATTAACATTATGCTAGGTAGTGGACGTTTCTAAATTAAGCTCAAAGGGGAGTCCCACGTGAAAGACTCAGCCGTATCGCTCTTTTGAAGAGCCACGCAGCCACGTTACGTATTAGGCGTTTTCAGAGCTAACTGAATTCCTAGAAGTCGCACGGCATAAAGGAGCTCGATTGGTTGATGCAAGCCCTTTCTGCGTGCATAAAGCAACGGGCCATTACGTATGTGAGTTGAGATTTGATCAACCACTTCGTATGGCGTTCCATGCATGCGTAAGATTATCTGCGACCTGCGTAACATTGTAGCTTGCAGAAATATATCTAACTATTCTTCCTCGAAGGGAGGTTTTGTCTTATTTCCTTTGAGCATAGCGTCCAAAATAAGTGTACCTACGGAAACCTCTATATCTTATCAACTTGACATATGTCATCCTGGGAACTTGGTCAATACATCGTTAAAGAGATTATGCCTATCATCCTTGAACCCCCATTGAATAACAATTGGGTTTAGCAAAGACACCCCGATATAACATCAATGACTCCTGTCCACACGACGTTTTCGGGCGATTCAAACTTTCATAGGTTACACTGGAAGTTAGTCCCTTCAAGTTTGATAGAACCCTAGCGGGTGATGCGTGCCTGCATAAGACGCGTTTATTTACCATTGTCAAGATTTTGATGTCTTAGTTACTATTTAATCTCGAAACGTACGTGTTGGTCTCGGATATGTACGGATAATGGATATTACATTAGATATCTCATTTAAAGAGCAGACCAAGATGACGTCTTCCGAAAACTAGACGGCCAGTGTTGGATTTGTAAAATGATAAAGCGTCATGTACATTTTTTCCACCACCAATATCTCATAGTAAGTCATTAATACACTACTTATCAAGGCATATCATTCAACAGGGACAGGCGAGCCAGACAATGGCCGCTAGTCTACATCAGATTATTGACAGTGTAATTGAAAATAAAATCGCTATTCAGCCGTCAAGGAGTTTGTTCGGAAGCATTATTATCAGCTATGTCGTTAGTATTCAGATAAATGCTGATGGTTCTCAATACAGATCTAACAATACCGTGACCATTTTCCATTCGTCTTTCGTTCGTGGCTGCAATCCCCCCTCGAGGATCGTGGCGACTAGCAATACCTGTAACAGATCTATCTGGGGTACGCTAGCCAAAGTTCCAGTCAACAGCAGTCACGAGACGACTGGGACTGGTATGCATTAGAAATACCAAGCAGCTGCTCGGGGACGAGAGGCACCAGTCTCGTAGGAGTCTCGCTGTTGGAGGAGTATCTGAATTCTTACTCCCAAGTTAGGTGAGGTGAAAGGGACGTTCTACGCGGTTAGGATGTTCGCACAATGGCTCACTAGTCCACCGGCTCTTGTGCTCAACGTGGACATGGGTTAGAACATTATCTTACCACCGAACCGCCTTGATTCATTTGTGCCACGTGCCACGAGACGCAATACTCCCCTTTCCGGTAGATGGATTTCGCACCGGGCCCAGACTCAACATGGTACTGCAGCACCTGGCTACGCAGACTTCGGGGCTCCTCAATTTTCAGCCCAGGAGAAGTTGACATCACGACACGGGCGCTCACTCTAGCGGAGTGCGGGCGCTCCAACATCTGGGGACCGTTGGACGCGGCTTCTGGGCTTCTTACCCGATTCGGACCTGGAGATAGAAGCGGGCAAAACAGCGATGAATCTCAAGGAGAGACGACAACGGGAAACTATTTCTTAGGATGAGCGGCTACCTGAGAAGAAGAAAATACTCTTTCGGCTAATGATGTAAGAGCCAACGAGTTAGAAGCGCTGTTTGAGAATGTTACGTATGGAGCTGGTAAGTCATTGACGAATTGGTACTATTTGTAGCACTTCGTTCTGTATGAATCGATCAAAAATGAACTGACAGACTGGTGAATTGGCTTCGATGAGATCTACTATCGTGAGGATCCCTGGCGCGTGGCACCTCCATAGGGATACACCAGCTACTTCGGACCTCCGTGATAGGTACCTACCTATGGATATGGTTAACAATTGGTTTATTGATGTTTGAAGAAGTAAAAATACGGTCGTCGCATATTGACTAAAGTCGGGGAAGCGACGAGTATCGGCGAACATATGAGATGACATTGGAAAGTGCTCACCACTTATGTAGTGTTTAGTTGGAGTATGCGACCGATGTGCGCGACTTCCCCGTGGATGTGTAAGTCCAGTGTATTATCGCCAAACAAGCAGAAGGAGGTCTTGAAAACATCAAAAAGCGACAAAAGAAGGTGGTACAGGAGGAATCTAACCTCCGTGCGATGGACTCGCGGGGAATCGAACCCCGGACCACTCCCAGGTTGCATCTTGCAGGTGCTAAGGGAGTATTATACCACTAAACCACAAGCCCGGCTGATATGCTAATGCTTCGGCCCAGACCGTATATAAGGCAATTCAATAAGCCGAGCGAGCTGATTCGCTCGAGGTGACGCTGTTCTATGGCGCTAATGCGTCCATGGGCCGGCACAGGTGGACACTTTAGTGTAGGCGGAACGCTCCGCATGTAGTTCTCACATCAATGCTTAACATTCCGAGTACGGCGAGCACATCCAAAAGGTATATTGAGGATACATATACACAAAGTTGGTATATGGCTGTTCACGGATTGAGCGACCTTTAAATCCCAAAGCCAAAAAAAATGTTGAAATTTCAAACGCATTCTGCCAACGCCAAAAGCCTTGCTCTATGTACACACGACATATACACATATACCCAAAAAGGTTAAGGCGCCTACTAGATATGGTTTATTTTGCCCCGCCGCCTTCGAACTTCTCGACCGCTGAAATAAAAGGAATAAAAAGAGAAAGGGCGGAAAGAAAAGAGGTCAGAGAATCATATCACCCGTACAATATCCTTCGCAAAACTCAGGTATAGGAGTAAATCTCCTGTCCAGACCAAGCAATTCGCACCATGAGAACATCCTACCAGTCGATGTCGTCATGCGTGATCCTGCCGACACTGATTCTCTCGTAGTCAGTAAGCCCGCCTCCAGATGCTAGGATGACAAGGAGAGTATAATAATCTGGGAGGGACTCTCGCTTTCTATTTTCTCAGGCCCAATAATAACACATTTTGCGACATTTTTGATAAAATCGTCTCCGTGATACTTGGGTCGGTCGTATACCAGGCTTGCAGGGTCTACCTCCTTTTGGATGTTTCTTGCGCCGTGGGACAGTGAAGTCTGACACGGGCTGGGTCCATACGCCATTTACATTTGAGAAGGAATCCTCAAATGGCTATTTGATTTCATAATCCAATCTATCAGACCGAAGGGGGCGTCCATGTACTTGATTGGGCCCATGACCGCCATCCAGGACCAAGAGGGAACTTTGCTGTCGTTTCCGTAATCAATCATGCGTAATGGTTGATTCGTCTCCTCTGCCTGCCAAAGAAAGATTCTGAGAGGGAGATACTTGTCTAACACGCCGTACTTGCACGCACACCGTAGACTCTTGCCGATCGTCTCTCAAGCCCGGACATGGCCCCCGGTCGGTCGGTCTCCCACGAGAAGCAAAGCGTTGAGTATCTCGAGTAGATGTATTAGGAGAACTCGATGTGAATGCCCTTGTAGTAGTCGGTCTAGAATTGGGAAGTTATGATCAGAAAGGAATGAAGAACATAACGTGGCAGATTCTATAATTTGAATATTCGTATGTGAAGAAAACATAGAAAGGATAATAAGAAAGCAGTGAAAACGCACTTGAAGAGTCTGCTCATAGCCACGCAGCTAACTGCATGCCCACATTCCCAACAGGTCTGGGTGTCGGCAAAAATGGACAGTACGTCTCGAGAGCGCCGTTCCTAGGAAATCCAGCCCCACGTGCTGAGACGACTCGTCTCGACGTCACGAGCGAGATTGTCAATGCTGTTACATACGTATAAGGTCGATTCGGGGCTGGAGGGCCCCGAAGAACATGACGCTGCCTGGCTATGTCTCCGGTCATGGGTCGCTCTTAGAGGAACCTGGGGCTTGGCCCTTCGGCAGACGTTGTAGCGATCGTATAGTACGCGCCGCTGTAGTAGTCCTTCATGAACTTGAACTCGATTTCGAAGTCCCCATTGTTCCCCTTGTCGTTCTGAATGGCGTGAAGTGAGTTAATCTAAATGTACTTGATATCGAGACTTCCTGTCACGGCCACCGTGTCTTGAATTTCTTTGGCAGCTTGTCGTAATCGATGGAGGCCTTCAGAGTCTCAAGGTTGGACTTTGTCATATAGGATCGTTTATCAAGATTCGGGTCACCCCGGGGATGTGACAAGGCAACATAGGGACTGTGCGATGGACAGCAATCAAGCTTCAAAATATCTAACAAGACATTGATCAGCTTCGTTGGGTGTTGTATTGGGGTCTCCCGCCGACCTATTCGGAGCGTGGACAGTCTTGGCCACAACCCCAGCCTTCTCTTAAGCTCTTTGTTATTCAAGTGGTGTTTAGAAGCCTATCTTATTGCTGCTGTATCATTCTAAAAGTAGTTGACTTCCTCGTTCGGGCAAATGCCAATAAGGGTAGTCTTCACATCCGAGATGTTGGCCCTTCGGTGCTGCACGCCTTGTTTTCGTTCGAGTTGTGGCTCGCGTGACTAGGAATTGCGGCACTCCGAGACTGAAGGTGTTTGTACGTGTGATAGTGAACGACTCCTTGTCGTTTTCTACCTCGTTATCAACAAGGCTCCTGGTGCGAACAAAGCCAAGAAGATCTTGCGACGCTCGACTAACGCATTCTTCGTTCGAGAGGGCCAAGACAATTCTTTCTGTATATGAAGGCTTACATAGGTCATTTTACTTAAATTGTTCACTCGCATGCCTGATGGTGTTGTCGGACTGCTTTGGCGATATACTCAGATTGCTGCCGATGTATGTCTCGCTACTTAAAAGGAGGCCACGCAGAGTTCTTTACACGCGGGCAAGCAAAGAGTTGAACTCGAGAGCCGCTTCTTTCAGCTGAGACACGGTATGAATGTGTGTGGCTCGATTTTCCTCCGAACATCCTTGTCTTCAAACCTTGAACGCCACAGCAGCCTTATCCTGGTTCATAGTTCATTTGACATCCGTTATCTCTTCTTGGTGGGTTGAAATGGCCGCGTCTATGATAGTCCCTAAACCCAAATCACCAGGGGCGATGCTAAAGGAGCACACCTCTCGCTATTGAGGGAAGTGGAAAGAGGTCAAGTCACAAAGCTACCCCTCTCCCATGGCGATTGGGCTTATCAGGAATACTTACTCGGAAGCATGGTGATGACGTATAAGTCCACGGAGTCGACATCAAGGATATGTTCACTGAGGGCTGACAATAAGTGTTACGGATAGGTAATATCACTCGTGACTAGTCAGAATTCAGCTAATACAATATAAGCCACTATCACATACGTGGTTGAAGCGATTGGCTCCACCTACGGCAGCTGCAGCCAGTTATCCTCCCACCTCCGCAAGAACCGCCATGTTACACTCCTTAACTACTCGAAAAGTCTCTTCACCCGGTGAAAAGGCTCTACGTGATTCCGGAGATTGCTTCTGAACGTCGTAACTTTCTAGGGCCTCCCGCCAGATATTGATATATATCATAGGGTTTACATTGCCCTCTATATGCTCAATTGATTGAAGATAGAAACATATACCAAATACACTTTTGACCTACCTCTTAACCCGCTCTTAACCCCAGACTATGTAGGCACTGCGGTATGAAGCTATCTGCCGAGTTGCGTTGTGCCTAGCTCGAAAGGAGAAGAGACCGAGGATCAAAAATTAAGGATATCGGGATGTGTATCATTTATTAAGGAAAGCTGACCTGAAGACCGCGTATCTGATGCGTGAGGCTTTAGAGCGTATGGATCACGTGGGGTGTAATAGAGAATAGAAAACGGCGTACTTTAGGTATCCGTATGTATAGGTAAGGCACATTTCATAATGGTGGATTCAAGACCAGCGTTTGAGGAATGGCACTTTGGGATTTTTCTTGCGAATAACTTTCTGCCGACTTATCTGCTGACCTGGGCGTTCTCTTGAAGTCTTCGTGAGCTAGACTTCAGCTTTGGGACGGCTTGGCGTTGTCCAACGAAACCCAGGTTTTTGAGACCGAAGGAACCTATGTACTTACGCACTCAGGCAACAATTCATGGCCTTGTAGGCCAAGTAGTATCCGACCAAATGATGGACCGAATTCGAGCCAAATACATGTACACATCTATCACTAATGGTATGCCTAACGAACAATGACGAATTTCACGGCATAGTATGACTTGTTGAAGGAAGGTATTGCGAGTCGACCTGCTCAAGGAAGGCCTAGATCGGCGTTCTACATGGTTAATAATCTTCAGATATCTCCATGTAACATCCATAGGATAATAAACACCTAACCCAGTAAAAGAGCTTTTTTCTGATCCGACCAGGGCTCGATTAAGGATCGAAGAGGAGTATCTAGGTAGCCTGGGCAGCAATGGTCTCCATCTATAGGTATACAACCTACGTACATACAAGTACAATGCATGCATAATGGACCATGACTTGTCTGGAGGTTGGGCTGCGACTAAGTGAAAATTCTGCCGCGATGAATCAATGCCTTTGTTTGGATGACTTGTGAATGCTATTGAAGAGCTTAGAAAATAATTTTTGACTTCGAAGTCTTTTGTCTTAGGTACTCGCATCTAAATGTAGCTACGCGCGCTGCTCGGAGAGAGAAGCACAGGCACAACGCAGACATGATTTAGAGTACAGTCAGTATCCGAGTTAGATACATGCATAGGTACATGTACCTACCTACCTGTACATATAAATGTTCACTGACGCTACCTACATACCTAAGATACCTCGAATGTAAGATCTGCCTGCCTGTGAATGCCCTTGTTGCTGGTAGTTGCTTAGGTATCTTAGTCTGTACCTACATACATGTATGGAGGTGAATCCCGTGTCTGCTAGGCTGGCGCCCCACCTTTGCACCGTACCCTGAGGTAATCCACGGCTGCCACAGCAAGCACTACCGCCCCACATCGCAATCATTACGCAAAAGGCAGTGGCCGATCAGCCGCGAGCTTTCAAACACCTCTAGGTAAACTACCTAAACCTAATTTTTTCTTTCCTTTCAACAACTCTCGACTCCGCCCATTTGCATCTCACCTGCGACCTGCGACCAAGCCAAGCAAGTAAGTAGAGGTTGCAAGCGAACGGCATCTCTACCCCCCGTTTCCTATCACATATCAGCACGCCCTTCTTGATCCTGGTAACTACGGTACAGCGGCCTGCACCCGCCTGGACCGATCCTATTTCCAGCTTCCTGACTGCCGTGCCGGAATCGTATCTACGCCTCGCATCATCACCTATCAGCAGCCCCTCATCCGCCCACCATCCACTTAACCTG